GCCCCGAGGCTTCGGCAAGGGGCGGCATAGAAATGTTATAATTATTATTATTATTTCAATCAAAATGAAAACACTAGCTCAAGCTGGGAAGGGAAGAAATGGATACCCATTATGGATATCCTGCACACAAAGATTAATGTGGATTTTCTTTTCATAGTATTAGGTATCATTAGACAATAGACTTCGGATATCATAACAGGCTAAGTTACGACTTAATAGCAAGCAGCTACCACAAAAAGCAAAGGGTAAAGACAAACATAGGGTAAAGACTGAAGCACAGACAGAAAAGATGAACTTTCATTTCCTTATTTTGAGAATGAAATAAAAAGGATGAAAATAATAATTAAATGAATCTGCTGATCCATTGTAATAAACTTCACAAATACACATGAGGCCATGTACTAATTGGTCAAGTAGATGCTCAAAATATCAGAACTCAACAAGCTTGTGGCTTGCTGCTTGAGACAAAAAGCATTACTTCTGCATTCAATGCATAATTCACTTATTAAATCCACTGCCACAATATGCTTTGACAGGCACAGATGATTTTAAGAAGTTAGACATACTCAATGAAGAGATCGACTGTAGACTAAATCCATAAGTTTCAAATGTCATCTTTTTTTTAAAAAAAAGATACTGGCCCCCATTCACATCTTCTGTGCAGAGTCAGAGCTGCTTCTGAGCACTAACAAAATTACATTCAGGGGGCAAAGATGGTGCTCCCTGCCCCTTGACATGGAGGTCCAGATGAGGCATGTTAAGCATAGCGTGGGCATGCAGAAGCAGTCGTCATAGCATAAGGATAGCATATGATTGAGCTTGCCACAATGACTGCCAGATGCTGGGGATTAAAGTCAGGCAAAGAATGAGTTAGCTACTCACTCTACTATCAGCATTTAAAAATTGTTTCCACCAAAACCTTCATGTCAGGTTTTCTTACACAGTTATTAGAAATATTGAACACAGTCTACACATGTTCCCTCTGACCTCCAAAAGAAATCTCCCAAGTATAATTAGGACCATTACTTAAGTCATCTGTTTTTCAAGTTTAAAAAAGCTGATCTATACCTCTTGGGAAACTACTTCTGTAGTGTTAAGAACAATATAAATAAAGAAAGCACCTTTTATACCAGGTTGATTCTTTAAATGGAGAAAACTTACCAAGTTTAATGTCTCCCTCTAATGTGAAAAGAATATTGCCAGCTTTTAGATCTCGGTGAATGATCTTATTTTCATGCAGATAGTGCAGAGCCTCCAGGGTCTGCCTGCAAACTACCCTTATCTGTGGTTCGGTGAGTGGCCGCTCAAGTTCTACAAGGAAAAAAAAATCAGTTATAAAAGACTCCATTTGCAAAATGTTTAATTATTATCTCATTTCTTCCTTTGTTTTCAAGGGCAAAATCATTATTGAATCCCTGAGATAGTAAGCAGGGTGAGGTGAGAATCCTAACCCTAACCCCTTAAGAAAAAAAAAATGGGCATGCCACAAACAATGGGTTGCACACATTACATTAAGCAAGGAAATCACCAATATGCCAACAGGAGGAACCTTCATGCATAGCCCTGCACAGAAAGAAGGTTCATCACCAGAGCAGTTAATTGCTTTAAAGGCCAATTAAATATTAGCACAAACATGTGAACCAGGTTTAAAATTGCAGATAAGGGGAAGATAGCTCAAGTAGCTGCAAGATAGGGAATCTTCCATTCAGCATGAAAGATCTCTAATCTAAAGACAGATTACAACCTACTAGTACATAAAAACAGATCATACAGGTAGGCAAGTTGCTTACTTGTAACTGTCTTCGAGTAGTCATTTGTGCAATCAGAAAGGGGTTTTGCAGGAACTCCTCCCCACCCAGACATCCATTCCAAAGGGAGAAGTTCCCACTCTTTTGCACAGTTCAAAACAAGACTGCCGAAGTGGCCTCTGGACCAAAGGAGGATAAATAGGCCCAATCACATACCTAACAAAGGCAGTATAGCACAAAAACGGAAATTCAGTTCCTCATGACACCCAATGGAACTTGCTGGTAGATTGTGTGAATGCACAGATAGCTACTTGAAGAATGACAGGTAACCAACTCGCCCTTCTATGTTAAAGGAAAAACACACCAGATCAAAACATCAAGAGATCAAAAATCAGAGAAAATAGAAAAGAGATGAATAAGAGAAAAAACAGTAGAGAAAAATGTTCCAGATTCTGAAAGGTGAAAAAGACTTCCTGAGGAACCATAGGTGGTGGAAAAAGAACTGAAAGAAATGACAGGAACAACTCCCTGGGCACTAGGGTGGGAGAGAGGTCCCTGCCAAAATGCTCTTAGCTGGTAAATCCTCCCAGAAACAGGCTCCACACAGGTGTGATGCACAGAGACCACAAAGAAGAACTTAGTAAAATTAAAAGAATGACCTTTATTGTTTTATACTGTAGCACTACTATATTTATTTATTTAAAATATCTCTACCCTGTCCTATAAGAAAATTGTCCCAGGACGGCTTACAATAATTAGAATAAATAAACAGAATAATAAAACAACATGCAAATAGCAAATTGTATTAGAATATTTGACTATTATGAATCAAAACAGTTTTACTACATTTGTGTCTACAAAATAAGAATAAGTGTCTTATAGTATAAGTGAAAGAACTCATTTCTTCCACAACTCAAACGTTAATCAAGTATGGTACTACAACACATATGAGATCCTGTATGAACTGCTTTCATTTTCAAGCCATGGCCTGAAAGTGTACATTCAAAGTGAACTATAACAGAGCTCTCAAATTAAAAAGTATTGCACCATGAGAAATGTGTGGTACTGTTTTCCAACTACTGATATCTGAAGCATATTTTCCTGGATCAAAACTGGCCGTATGTTTCTTTTACACATTGGAAAAAATATATATCTTATTCACCAGGAAAACTGGATATGGGAGGAGTTGGACAGGCCTACTGGAGAAGTCTGAAGGACCCTGTACCAGGTTCAATCATCATTCTTTCCATGGTTTTACTTCAATTATCCAAAGGTCCTTCAATGTGAGATCAGAAACTGCTCTTTTCTTATGGCCTGGGGAGTTGTCAAACCTATCAATTCGGAAAGATCGCTGGCTTCTAAGGAATTTATTAGCTAGGTTTTAATAACAGCTTTGGTGTTTTATGCTTAATTATTATGTATTAAAAGTTTATTAGTTACTTCAAAAATTCTGAGCCTATAAATTTTAAAACAAATAGATCTGCAACACAGAATAACCAATCCAATAACTGTTAACATAAAATACTGTAGCTAAGTAATTGTATAAAATATAAAGTTATAATATGTACTTGCCCAACATTACAGCATCTACTGCACCACCAGCACAGAATTCAATGAGAATCTAAGTACAGAAACGAAAAAATGTGGTAAAAATGTATCCACTGGAATGAAATATTGGTGTGTAGAACCCAGAAATTATATTCAAGATTCCCCATACAAAGTGCAGAACATATTTAGGTTTTGATATTTCACTTTTTTTCTCTGTTCTTTCCAGTCTTCTGACACTTTTGTTGATAAGAAAAAATTACAGGCTTTTAATTTAACAGTACATTGCTCTGGTTTAGGGAGCTGAAGACTTCTACATCTGAAGTGATTTGAGGAAACCTAGTACTTTGCTAATGTTTCACTATGTATGAACTGGGAACTGTTGGTATTCCTCTTTTTTCTCTTGAGATACTATATGTCTGAATAAAACTGCTGACGTTTATAAACATAGACCCGTATAGAGCTGTCTGTACTCTATAAAAAACTTAGAAATTTATACCAAGGTAGATTAAAAACTGCACCAGAAAAATCACTATCCTGGCATCATTAACTTAACTTTTACTATTCACCCTAATGTTTTTAGAAGGGGGGGGGGGGGGGGGGAAGGGGCTGAGAGACACTGTTTTTCCAGAAGATGGGGTAAAGGAAAAAATACACCTCATTTTCTAGAGTGAAAAACATCCTAGAATACACAGTACAAGGTTGATCCCTAACCAAAAAAAAAAGCCATTCAGTTCACCTTGTTAATTGGGTGGGTAGTACTCAAACCTACATGCAATAGTGACATCAATGCTTTGCATCAATGCTTTACATCAATGCACTTCTGAATGAGTCTCAGTTAAGAATGAATGAGAAATTTGTTGGCTTATTATGTAATGCAAAATGTCCAAATTCAAACATTCTGAACTAAAGCACGACCTGGAGTGCAAATGATATAGTAATGGTTGCCCTTTCCCAAATTTTGCAGTGTGGTTCACAAATTAAAAAGGTACACATACAATATATAGAATAAGGACAAGTGCACATAAGGCTACATTACATTAGGAAAAATTGTTTGCAAAAATGCATCTTTCAGAAACTATTCCTGTGTATGCATGCATAATTGTATATATTTGTGACATACAGATAAATGATATGTAAATAAAATATTTACATATTTTCATGAAGATTTTTTTTTAAATATCCAACTTATTCAGAAATTGGATGGAATGAACTTCATAGAAAATGGAAAAAGCTTGACATATTCATCCATCCTTAATCTCAAACCCACTCCAGATGAGTGAACAACCCTGCCCTTCCTATCTTCTGTTGGACTATTTTTGAGTACATCCTATCAAGCACATGTTCTGCATTCATGCCAGAGAATTCAGGAGAGGAACTTTTGCTGTCCATCCAGACCACATTGTTAGATTTTGAAAATAAAACTCTCAAAACTCCATTTGAAGGAGGATGAGTCTCTTGCTTTGTCCTCAGAAACAAATTCAGAATTCTAGGTGGGCGGGGGGGGGGGGAATCTTTTCCTTAAGCCTTCTTTTGGGAAGGCTAAAATAATCCTGACTCCCACGGACTTCAGACATCTGTTTGAACTTTAATAAAAACCCATATTCCCCAGATCTCTTAATTAGTCACTTAGAACACAATCCTATGCATGTTCAGACATAAAAAAAGCTCTACAAGAGACTGTTACACTCCTTATAGTCTACCTATGCATAGGACCACATTCTACCTTAGTCACGTGAGACACTAATTCCATATTTTTCCTTAAAGCACACATCTCTGAATAGCAAAACTTACCCAAAGATTGTTTTCATAATAAAAAGCATCCAGAAGTTTGACGATATTAGAATGATCACAGGATGCCAGAATATCAATTTCAACCATGTAGTCTTCAAGCTCTTCCTCAGATTTGGTATCAATCACCTTTGCAGCTGCAAGTACTTTTGTTTCTTTGTTCTGAGCCTGTAAGAAACATTGAAGCAAAACACTGAAAGCAATGTCACACACAACATGCAATGATAAGAGGCATCAAATTTAACTTTTAAAAGGACTTTTAGCTGTATCCATAAGCAAATCAAGCCACTAAGATGACAGTAAAGAGATGCTATCTTTACAGTATACAAGCAAGTTGCAAATCTTGCACACCCTCACTAATCAATTCCACCAAACAAAAACATGTTGCTAAACACAGCAGCAAATACTTTTAGGCCACAAAACAGGCCGATATACTACAGTGGTGCGACAAGATGAGTGGGACTAAATGTAGCATTTCAGCAAGCACTCTGAGGCTGGCCTGATGGCTTTTACATACCACTACTCTTTTGAGCGTCATTTCCATACCCACAACCACAACATTAGCAAATAATTCACCAGTACTTTTACTGTGGTTCTTTTACTTCCTCAGAAACATTGTTAGGTACATTCTATTCAGGTGCCGTTACAAATTAGCGATAGAAGCTTTTTAATGTCTAGGTAAGCACATTGCTTTTCTCAGTAATTTCATAGCCTAACTATGAAAGTCCAAAGCCTAATGATCTAAGACAAAATAAATCCTTTCTTAAGACATTAGCGGCATAACCATGCACCAAAGAACAGAGTCTTAACAGCTGCATCATCCTGCCTGTGAAATCTTTGTTCATTTGTAATTCCTCTTATGGCATTAATTGAAGTTGCTAATCACTCAGGCTTTCTGTGGGTCTTAGTATGGTTTTCTGCTACTGTTAAATTGGATCCCGCTGCTGTTTTTCTTTCAATGCTGATTCTGTTTAGCATTTACATTTATTGTATTTTTATTAAGATAGTGCTAATAGTTTGGGAGAGGAATTGTCCCAACATGGATGTAACACTAAATATAACTCTTTCAAATAAATTTATAAATAATTTATTTATTAAATAATGAAAGATAATTGATGGTTGGCGCAAAGTCGCTGATCAAAGCTATCTGGAGGTTTCCTTAAAGTGCAAGCAGCCACTTGTCTAGATGGTGTTCCAGAAAGATTTTGTGGGAAATCAAATGGTGTTAATAAATTGGTAACTATGCAACCTACCTATACCACTTCTGCATTAGATAAATTTATTAGATTTATATCCCTCCTCATTAACCAACATGGCAGAATATAGTATTGTGATAGTATTGATTTTGCATTTTGGAGCTAGGGGTGTTACACCAGGCAGGTAGTTGCATAGGACCCTCCAGCTACAGAGAGGGACTATACCGAATGTCAGCATAATTGGTTTTGGTGACATTGTTTTCCCCATATCTCATAAAGACTTTGTCATACCATCATTGAAGCATAACAAGTTTGAATAGTTACTTTCACTAACTTGCATCACAAAAATTTTTCAGTTTGCTTCCAGAGCTTTCAATTCAGAATGTCACACACAAGCTTTCCTTTACCCTACAACCTTAGATTCAATGTGTTCAGATGCTCTATTAGTTAAGAAAGCCACATCAAAAATCCATCCAGGGTCAGAAAGTACTTCTTGACCTTCTGTCTCCTTGAGAAAGATATCAACTTCATGATGGAGACTGAAAAAGTTTGAGGACTTTGCCTCTGCTAAACCACCTGACTTCTGCATGGTACAATATATTTCTATATTCTGCAGCTATCTCTGAGGGAAAATTTTGAAACTGACAATGAGTAAGGCCATGATGCCTAATGTAACTAATGTGGGATACAGCAATATGCATCATACTTTCCCACTGAAGAATCTTACTACATAAGGCTTGCTGATGGATGATGCAGTGAAACTGCATGGGAAGTGTACATTTAATTTCAATATCTCTTCACTGATTCCTGCAACTACACCAGTTCTACTTTCTACCATATTTCTTGCACCATCAGTTGTGATGCTTTTCAATTTCTCTCAGCTCAGATCAAGATTTTCTGCAGATGCACATCTCTTCAAGAATGTCTTCTGCGGTTATAATGTCTCTCAAACTCTGCAATGCACACAATTCTTCTGTAATTCTGAAGTTGCAATTTATCCCCCTGATTAATATTAGCTAAGGAGGGTCTATAATTCCATTGCTTTCATCTAATGCCAAAAAAAAAAAAAACCCTCAAAACTTTTTGCCTTGACAGTCAGTGACTTATGCAGTTTTTCTTGGTTTTTTTTTTTTTTTAACAAACCTGGTGATTGCAGATGCGGATAAACTGACACAACTAACCCAAGGTATCTTATCAGGGAATAATTCCTCCATTACTTTAACCATGTACATTTCCCATAGGTGAATGGCCTACCACTCTCAGCAATACATTTAGCAACATGATAGCTGGCCCTTGACAGGTTCTCAACTCTCTAGAATTATTTTGCTACAAAAACATTGATTTTTTTTTTTAAAAGAGAATTTCTTGTTTACTTGCATCTCTCCTTGATATACTGAGTAGCTCTTCTGATAGGATTCAGGGTGCCTTTTAAGATTGCACTCCTTTAATACTGAGACAATTTCAGGCCATATCAGGCAAACCTCTTTATCCTTATTTAAAATAAAAAAGTACTCAGTCTGTCATGGTGCTCATCTGCAATTTTCCTTTCTTTGAAACAGGACTTTTGTGGACATCATCTTAAATTTTTAACTGAGCAGAAGTCACAGTTGCAATATAGCCACAACAATATTAACTTTGAATAAATAAAAATATGAGACGTATAGTCTAATTCTTCCATTTTCTTAAGAATGGATTATAAATCTGACCTATCAGATGACAGAGTTCCAAGCCTAAGTACACTGAATACTATAAGATTTGTTTCTTAATAAACACCTGCCTTGAGGTTTAAATCTACACATGCTAAAATTTCAAAAATTGGGAGCCCTCCAAAAAGGGGCAGATAGACAGGAGCAAATGAAAGGGCAGGAGCCCACCTGGAGCAGAGAATACGCCAATAAAGGCTTCAAATTATATGCAGAATGCACATACACATCACTGCCTGCCAGCCAAGCCTCAATCATGAGAAGTAAAATGGCTGCTGGGGTAAGGGAACTTGGGTGGAGGAAGATGTGGGAAGGGGAATTCCATAAGCTTCCCAGCTAAGAGTGTACTCCTTCCCTCTCAACCAAAGGGGCCACTCACTGGCTCCTCCAATCATGTGTGAGAAGACTCCTAGCTAGAGTGGTTGGGGGAGAAGAAGCAAAAGCAAGCAAGGCAAAAAGTCAGAGCAACCAGCTCCTGTTGCGGAAGGAAGAATGCTTTTGCCTGAAGCAGCAACCACACCTGTAACCTTGGAAGCCACTTGGAAGAGCCTTGAAGGGGAGAGCCTCTAGAAATGTTTAATATGCAAAACGCTTTTTATGCTTTTTTGCAAAAATACCTGGCCTTTGACTCTTTTTCCACCATTTTTTTTTTTTTGCAAAAGCAGACCAGACTTCTCCTGTACCCATCCACACAGCTGCTTTATCTTCTTTATAGACACATGTAGCCTTCAAAATGGTAATACATTTGGGGGGGGGGGTGAAAAAGCTGAGCAGCATGGGTACCTGAGCTCTGTTGCCTAGCAAAGCACCCAGAATGGCCAAAATGCTAGAATGGGGGATAAGACCAAGAGGAGGCTGACAGAAGGAACCATGGACACCAGAAGAAACAATGTTGCTATTAAGTTTTTTCTAAGAAAGGAACAGGAAAAACAGCAGAAGATGGTGCCACTTGAGGCAGGAAGAACAGGGTGGGTCTGAGGGAAAATGTCTTGAGGGTGATAGCAGCAGGATGAAAACTTGTACAGAAAGTGCTTGGGGGCTGCAGGTTGGGGACCCCTGATCTAGAGGATTGCACCATAAGTGGAATTTTACTGGAACCATTCTGAGAATGAGATTTAAATATCTAGAAGACGAGCAAGCAAGGAGAAACCCATCTAAAGGAAAAAAAAAACCACCCAAAATTCCTGTTTACCCACACATGTTAATATATTTATATATCAGTATTTTTTATAAAGAGGAAAATATTACAGAATTAAACTAGTTGACAGAATCCTTCAAGATGGGAGGCAATGGTGTCTCAGCCCTGGTACCAAAGATCTGTAAAGCATGTGATCTGCCACTGACTGATCACTTCTCCTTATTAGGATTAAGCACCTAGATTTTTTTCCCAGCATTTGGCTTTGCAAAAGATTATAAAGTGCATAAGGATGTGTATCAGGTCAGGGTCTTGTACTTCCGGAATTGATAGCTATGCAGTGAACAGTGGGCTACTTTGTGTTGAATATCTGCAGTGCCACAAATCATTTTTGTGTACTGGCTCAACAGTGAATGTGTGCTTTTGTCTGTGCAAGTAACTGTGTAATAATTTATAAGAGCACAGTAATCTGATCTTCGGTAAAGCATTATGAAGGTTAAATTGTGATGAGATGTAGGAAGGCTAAAGACAGGATGTCAAATGAAACAAAACACTTACCAGTAACAGGTCCTTTGTGTCTCAACAAGAAAATTCAGTATATTTCAGTTTTTCTATATTAATATTGTTACATTGTTTATAAATCAATGAGATAATATTGCATGAGAATGTTATTTGTGCTAAAGTGACCAAGCTAACTTTAACCTCAGTTTCTTCAAGTAGTTTCTACAACGTTCTCTATCCTAGTGCCATTTTTTTTTTTTGCACATTCTCACTCTCTTCATCAGCTACAGTGCTAACATGTTTTCCTCATTATCAAGTTAATGCAAAGAGCATGACCAGCTTTCAAGTACGAATCAGAAGCAAACATTATTTTCCAATACTTTAATCACAGGAACAGATTTGTAGGTTTTTCCACAAATCAAGTTTAAGAGGGGACACATATTTACAAATAAATTTTAGGAAGAGGGCCTAAAACAAAACTTGCATTAATTTTTCAGAAGCATTTCAACCTTAATAAAAAGATTGCACTGTTGTTTGCATCAACATTGTAATCTGCAGTGCTAATTGACCAGTGTGGCCTCAGCTCCCAATTTTAATAGTGCTAACTATGTTGGCAGTGAAAGGGGTTACCAC